ACACGGTGACGCCTTTTGAATAACCGTGTGGCCTCCCCTGGTCGAGCGGAACCCTGGCCAACGATGGGTTTTGTCGTGCTAGGTTAGCAGTTTGCACCACCACCACAGTCTTGCTCCGTCATGACAAGGCTGCGCTCAAGTTACAGATGGCAGACTTGCTCTGAATTGGAAGATCACGGTTTTCGTTGACTAGGTCGGTCGCACAGCCAAAGCAGGCCAAAGCAGGCAGAATCATTAAATGCAGCAACCCACATATATCATTGAACGGTGAAAACGAGAAATCAAAGAATAACAAAAAAAAGTTTGTAGAGTCATAGAACTCAACGGCGAAATATACTAAAGATATTAGCCCTCTTCAGCAGTTCATTGGGCACAGGTTTTTTACTTGCTCTGCAATGTCACATAGGGCCCGGCCGATCGCAGAATCAAAGCTGACAGAATCAATAAAGACAATAATCAACGCTTCGTGGAACGGTAAGCACAAACCAACTAGCAAAGACTGTGCCCGGTAAAAGGTGCTGGGTGTTGAGCTTGTACTAGCTGAGTATTGGGGTGTCAATGTTCAGTTCTGGGGTGTGGATGTTTAGGCCTGGTCTTTGTTTGCCCTAGGATCCCACAAGCAACTTCCCCAAGCGCCTGATTTCTGAACAAATCGTAAAGCTACAGATTTTTGACTCGCCAGGACCTCGAAACCCTCCAAGTGAATCTTGCCGAGCACTACTCCAACATGCGCCCCAGCCTGCAAAATGGCTTCAGGGAACTTCAGGGTATCTTCAGGGTATCGGCTTTTGGGATGTGGGGCTTGCTTGCGGCATTGTGGGACGTCAGGGCACGCTTTGGGAAGGGCATGAGCTTTAAATGCAGCCCTAGGGCAAACCGTTAGGAATTAGCAACTGGGTAAGCAAACCAAAAAGAAGTTGCATGCGCGTTCGGCCTTTTCAAGAGCCGGATGGACCTCGAACCCAGGCATGTCTTGTAGCGTCTAGGGATTAGGGATTAGGGTTTAGGGTTGGCCACGACATGTGGCGACGCCCTCCTGGGTTGCCATTGCATGTTTGCCCTGTGCCCTTGGGGCCGATGATGCGGGAAGTGCCCAGTTCCAGCAAACACTGTTTCGTGTATGGGGCGCCCGCACAGAGGTCAACGTTTCCAAACTGTTTTTTGCTGCTTGCCCTGAAGCTTCAGCAAAAGGCGACAAGCCTCGTTTAGGGGGAAGTTGGGTTGCACTTTGGGGTCTTGTCCATCTTTTCAAGATGGCATCTGAGTAGCTCACACTTGCACCAAGGACCAACTTCATCCGGACTCGAGCTGAGCCCACACTCTTCTACTTGCCAGCGCTGCTCGACTGACGACAGATTAAGGGTTTCCGCGTTGATAACTTCAAGCATGGTCATGTTTTGCCAGCGGTACAGACATGCCCATTTTGGGGTGAGAGGTCAGCAGTCCGGATCATCTTTAGGAGGATTTTTCAGAGGGTCTTAAGGCCATCCTAGAAGCTGTCAAAAAGGTGAGGCCCAGGGCATCACAAGCACCGGCGGCCAGCGGGGCAGCGCTCCCATGCTTAGCCGCGATGCACTGTAAAGACCAGGTGGCACTGAGTAGAGCTTGTGCAATACTTGGTAGAAAAAGAAGAAGCTAAAGAGCCAAGGCAGTTTCACATGTTGATCCGTATGAACTTGCACTTAAGGCAACAATGTTGACAGTACCAGAATGAGACAGTCAAGCAAAAGACGATCGAGAGACTTAATAGCATCGAGAAGCCAAGGCATGCTATGGCTCAAATCTTTTCGGGGTGATGGAAGATTCTCCGCATGAGAAAAAATTGCCGGATTGAAAACACGCAGGCACGGCAAGATTGTGTATCGGCCACATCGGCCCCCTGTTTGTTTTGGATGTTTGTCGTGTTGTGGGCCCTTGTTTTTTCGGGGGGTGGGGCACGGTTTGGCTGGAAAGAACAAATGACAGAACGAGAAAAAGAAAGCACGAAGGACTGAAAGACATGGAGGACTGAACGAGAGGCCTGCGGGGGCTGCCCCACTCAAGGAGACGTCCGGTCGTCCAGGTCAGCGCCTGAAGTGAACTGGATTGGGGGTGCGCTGGCTGTTTTTTAACCAGTCACTCAGACACTCAAAAAACCAGACCTAAACACTCAGACTCTCACCTTCGAGGCCAGACCCAGTCTCTCAGTCGCTCACTGATTGTCTGAGGGTGTGAATCTGATTGTCTGATTTCAACTGCTGGCCGCTCTGGGCCGGCCGGTAAGGCATTAATTAGCCGGCATCCTTTCTACCGGAAGCTCAGAACTCGAAGCCCATGCCCGCTTCCACCACAGGCTGTGATAGCTCCATATAGGTCCTACAGTGCCTACAGTGGCCCAGGAAGCACAACTCGGAGACGGAGAAGTGTTGGCAGGAGACCCGTGACACCATCCAACAGAAGGCTTGGGCGTACGAATTTCAAAAGCGGGCTGTGATTGTCCGGGCTTGCAGGATTGTAGATGCAGGATTGTAGAAGTGCTGAACTGTTGGGCCTGTTGTGGCCGGAATTTGAGATAACGAGACGAGGTTCAGGGTCGGGGGCGCGATTGTGTGACAAATCAGACTGGTAATAGATAGACTAGCGTAAATCCACAACAGCTATGGTCTCAAAGAACAAAGTCTCGGCGGGACATCTAGCACATGCAATTGACCTGCGGCCGCCGTTCCGTGAGACAAGCAAGAGATACCACCATGGAAGGGGGTGATTCAAAGGCCTTCAAAGGCGGCTGCCTTGCATCTCACTGCCAGGTTCGCAGAATCATGTGCCCCTGGACCTTGACAGTCTCAACAAGATTCAACAAGAACCCAGCACAGTCTCACTAAACCTTTCGAAGCAAAAGATCACTTATCAGAGCACATAGACACAAACACTCCACTTCTAAACTCTGCCTCTAAGCCTAGCAATGAGACTGAGAAGCCCGAAGCGCGACAGGTCCGCCTACTGCCCAAGCACTTGGGGACCACGACTGCTGCGGCGGAGCCTGGGGAAGTGGATGAGGAGAGTTCTCAATCAGACCGCCAGATGGAGCTGCACCCACTTAGCATCACAACAAAACTCACAAAACCCAAGCACCACTCGACCCAGTGACCCCACATGGCCGGGCACCGAAGCTCGAAACACGAGAGGGCTCAGACGGAGTGAGAGAGAGAGAGAGAGAGAGAGAGCGACAGAGAGAGAGAGAGAGAGAAGGCTTTGGCCGACTTTGGCCGACAGTCTTTCGTATGTTGCTCGTAAGGGGGTGCTATCTGTGGAGTTCTATATCCATTATACCCGAATGTCTACGGATCTATGGAGATATGGATGCTGCTAAGTTTGATCCCCAGACTGGCGAAGCAACCTCAAACCCCAACCCATCTCGGCTGTAATTTCCTGGATTCCTGAATGAAGCCAACCTGGCCGAACCTTGAAATGCAGCCCATGTGCGGCAGGCAGTGTGTAGCAGTCCATCTCAAAGCCTCGGCGCGAATCCGAAACCAGGAGGACTTGGAAGAAGGGGAGGAAGAGCTCGAAGAGGTGGAGGAGGAGGAGCCGAAGAAGCTACGCAGCCCGGCTGCTCTTGGGAGCGCTTCGGTGAGGTCTTGGCATGCTTTCCCCTCCCCCACCCCTCACTCATGCGATGTGCTGATGCCTGGAGCCTCCTCGCCAGCTCTGTTTCATCTCCCTTGCTGTGTGGGTGGTGATGCCTGGAGCCCGACGCGCCATGCGTGTGCTGATCCCTGGAGCCCTCCTCGCCAGCTCTTTCAATCTCCCTTGCTGGTGCGGGTGGTGATGCCTGGAGCCCGCCTTACCTCTCCGTTGCTAGTACAGCTGCGTGGTGTGCTGATGCCTGGAGCCCCCCTCGCCAGCTCTGTTACCTCTCCGTTGCTGGTGCAGCTGCGTGTGCTGATGCCTGGAACCCACCTCGCCAGCTCTGTTTCCTCTCCGTTGCTGCTGCAGCTGCGTGTGCTGATGCCTGGAGCCCTCCTCGCCAACTCTGTCTCATCTCCCTTGCTGGTGCAGCTGCGTGTGCTGATGCCTGGAGCCCGCCTTGCCAGCTCTGTTTCCTCTCCGTTGCTGGTCTAGCTGCGTGTGCTGATGCCTGGAGCCCTCCTCGCCAGCTCTGTTTCGTCTCCGTTGCTGGTGCCGCTGCGTGTGCTCATGATTTCCTGCCGCCCCAATCGTACGTTTTTCCTCAAAAAACCTTAATTTGGACACGCAGCTTTGTGTCCATCTGGTTCAACAAAGCATGCTTGCATCCGACCCTGCCCTGTTGCTGCCCTAGCTCCTCTAGCCTGGACCTGCTAGCTTTCGTTTCCCTGGCCCCGCCCCTCAAGTGTTTGTTCACGACTGCTTGGAGGCAAAAGGCTTAGCGTGGTGACTATTTGTGAGACTTGAGAAGTGTTGCAGCCTGAGGCTCCGAGCCAAATGGAGAGGCCACGACCGCCCTCGCACCCCGCCGCCGCGCAGCTCTGACCCCGGCGAAAGCTTCGTGAGCCGCAGAGCCATGACGAATCGAGGGGTTCAAGGTTTCATAGCTTAAGGGCTTAGAACTTCAGAGTTTGGGTTGCAACCAGGGCGTCATAGCTCACACCACACGTGTTTTGGGAATCGTGTTCGTGGAGCCCTCTCTCCATACTCGGAGGCACCTAATCAAGGTACCTAGGGTAATCGGTCTACAAGGGTCCCTGGCGTGCCAGCGGTGCAATGATTGGGAGGATCTGAAGCGCGGGATGCCAAAAAGCAGCGCTGCCACTGGCTGTCACCTGTAGAGTAGAAGCCCATCGCGAGCAAGGCCAGCTGGCGACCATCTCATGCGAGCCCCAAAACCCCAATCACCTGCACTTCGTATGGCAGGCTCCCTTTAAGTACGGTTATCATTCAAGAATAGCACATGGGAAAACATTTTGTTTCAGAGAGACCGGATTCTTGAGACCAACGGCTTGCAGATCTGCTGACTATTGAATAGCCCTGGCGCGTAACGGATGTCAGCTCAGCAGGTGTGCACCTCGAACTCCTCAAATTTCTGGCTCATCGGAACCTTCGTGGTGGCGACCTTCTTGGGAAATTTGTGCGGTTCAGGTTCGGTCTTATCAGGGGGTTTGGAGGGGGGGCTCAAGGCCTCAGACCGTCGAAAAGGTGCAAACCATGACCTGGGCACCAGCTCCCGGGCCCCGCCCGCGGTGGGCGGACGTCGTGGATTCTTCGCAGGAGCAGGAGGACCGCATGGAAGTCTGGCAAACATAACCCTGAACCCTCAACCGAAAGCATTGGAGCAGGTTTGGAGGTATCGTGCTGGAGTCCACGGGGCACATGCGCCAGGTTTGGATTCGTGGTTCATTCCCCGCCTTCTGGCCTAGCGTCGACGCACGAGGCAGCACAACAAAGGGCTGTTTCGGGTCGCAGTTTAAGCCCTCCATTGCAGGACCCCTCGCAGGAGGTGAGGCACTCGCCACTCATCCACCAGGACTCCTACCAGGAGTCGCAAGCCTCACAACAGGCGTTTCATGGGGTGGGCTTGGTTTGGGGGCATGGTTAGCAAGTTTTTGATTTAGAACGTGGACTGATATTGGGCCGGTTTCATTCAGGAGAGTCAATTTTTGTTTTGTCAGGGTTCCGCTTTTTTGTCCAATGTAGACCGGCCTGGATCCTTAACACCCCTGGTCTTAGCTGAGGCAGTGCTCGAAGCTGGGAATGGTTCCCTCAGCCCCCTCCAGGTTTGCACTCAAAATATAGAAGTGGGACCGCAGCAGCACAGGCTCTGGACCAAGGCCTGAAGTCATTCTGCTCAAAACCCTAAACCTTTAAACAAGCTGCGAGCTCATCCCTTGAGTGCTCCAGCCTGTCCTGGCCTTGTGTTTAGACCTTGGACAAAACAGGCTCGGTTGCAGAACTCCGACAGCTCCAATTTAGCTCATCAGGTACCGCGTTGAAAAAGGTTCTTTCCATAAGTCTGATGGGATTCTCGCATCAGAAGCCAGGCATCGCAAAGCAGCATCTGCAACTTGCTCCGGACCAGCGCCAACCTCGCCGAGGACACTCCCAGGGATTTCAAAGAATCAGGCCTCTGGGTCCCCTGGGTTTAGGGCTTTTGGGTTTGGGGTTTCGGGTTTCCTAAGTGCGTGAGAGAGAGGGTTTCGGGTTTGCCTCAAACAAATCCTGATGGTGGCAGTTGTCGTGGACACAAGCCTCATCCTCAAAACGTGTGAACCTGATCCTCAGGCAGAAGCCTCGCAAGACGATCGGGCCCGGGCCTGAAGCTTTTGCTGAAAGTGCAGGCGGACACAGCCATCGTAAGCTGCAGCTGAAGGGGGGCAAGATCAAAGAGCAAACTCATCTCAGCACCACTTGCAGCAATAGACGTCGCTGAACCCCAGATAACTCTAAGTAGGAATGGAGGGTATCCGTACCATCGGCACCACAGACTTGGTTGCTTAAGTATTTGAGGCTGCACGCTAGGCAGAGAGAGTGGCGCAGCCAGTTGATTTGGTAGTTTTTCCTGCCTTGGAGGAGCTGGCAGGGCCCGTAAGATGTAGCAGCATGAAATCACCCTCGACCTTCTTAGTTGGGATGTTCCCCTTATCCTGGCAGTCCTCAATACGGATTGTATTAGCGGGTACTATAATCCCTATGAAGGAGTGTTAGTCTAAGGGGGGACATCCCCTACTGCAAATCCATGATCGAGAAACTGGTTGCACCTGACGGCTCAGTGATGCATAGCTCTACAGCCGAAGTGCTCCCTAAACTATTGGAAATAGCCGCGGCGAAGCCTTCAAACCTGTGCAAGGTGGCAAACAAAACACCCAGCACTCAAGGATTGAAGTGCACAGAGATCCAGGACCTTGAGGTTATTTCGGTTGTGGGTTGGGGGCCTTGCCCGGACAAGTCTCTCGCTGTGGATGCTCGCCGGTTTCAATCTATCCTGTTGGACTAGAGTAGATACAAGCTGTACCTGTGTGACTCTTGAACATGAGCCGGAAGAGCGCGCGCTCTTTGTGAGACATGCGTAAGCTGTGCTGGACGAAGCCACAGCCAAGGCCCCCCAAACTCGAGCACCTCACGTCACCATAGAACCCAAGATCCCTCAACATGCCCTGGCCTGCAGTCTAACACCCCAAACCATCCCAAGAGTCCTGGAATTCTTTCTAGGGTGAAACCTGCACAAGCCCTGCTGCCTCTTAGATGCCCGACTTGGACGTGGCCTCGGGCTCGGCAGATCCCCACCCAGGCCAAGTGCGGACCAAGAGGTGTTTGGGGCCCCCCTCTTCGGGGCTCCCAGGGTATAGGGTTTAGGGTTTCAAAAAGGGGTTCCAGGCTTTTGGAGTTTAGTTTCAAAAGGGTTTGGGAACCCAATGCCCTTGCGTTGAAGGTGCCGGGACGTATGCCCACCAAAACAAGCTGGAGACTTGGCAATCGATACCCCTGCGCAGACATTGTCGTTGTCCGACCCCTCGGGTCCCAGACAATGGTATAGACCAGCTTGTCAGCACAAGTTACGCAAGCTGAGCTTGCGAGATATGCGGGGGTTCCAGCAGTACTTGCGCGCTTCTGGTGCCAAGATGCCTTGGGTTCATCGGGGGTGTGCCTGAGAGTCTGTGGCTGACTTTTTACGCATGTCCAAGCATTCACACCGGCATCTCCTCAAATCCTAAAGCCGAAGCCCGGGCCATTCGGGGCCACGAGCATACTTTTTCTGGATTGCATTGTCTTTTGATGTCTTTTGCATACTTCCGTATCCACTTTGTTCTTGCCTTGCTTTCTTGGCTGAACGGTGCATTCTGCAGGTCTTACAGTCTGCAGACACGATTGTTGGCTCCTGTTGCGTTTCCCGCATTGGTTTAGATAAACTTTATATGCTTCGTGTCCTCTTGTTCTGGACCCCAAACTCTCTTGGATCTGAAGCATCCCGAAATTGTCACCCGGCAGCGTGACTAGTCCGCTTGGCAGATGGCAAAAAACCCTCAACCCTAAATGCTGGATTCCATTTTCCGATCTTGGCTTTCAAACCAGCAGGCCACGGCTGCCGAACCCAACACAAGGAACAAACACCAGCACGAACTCGAAATGCTTTGTGGAATTCATGTGGCCGAAGTGAGAGGCTTTCTATCCCGGAGACGTCACCTGACCGAGAACTCCGTCCGCGAGGCCTTCGGCCATTTCCGGGACATGTAGGCCATGGCCAGAGTTAGAAATGAGGTTTGGGTCTGGGTTGTGTTTTGCTCCCTGCTCCGGGTCCAAGTCGCAGTGGTGACAGAAGCCTGCCGTGCAATCTTCTGCCGGTTGTTGCATGGTAGTTGCTCAAATGGGTTCCCTTCTTAGGATTCCAGTACTATTCCATTGCAAGGAATTCTTAGCCCATGGCCCATCCATTCAGAAGACCTAACGATCCTGAATTCCTGGGTCCCTCGCAGACGACAAACCATCAGATGCTAAATCAACATGTGGGACAGCTGACAGGGGCCAACACCTCCAACCTGCTTTATGTCACAAGTTGTTTCGAGATTCCTCAAGGATGGTCTTCGTTAATGTTTTGGAATTGTCCGTGGTTTCTGGTTGCGGCTCCCCGTAAGACCTTCCTTTGTTGGTGGACGGGGGCCTCAGACTTCTGTCGGCAAGTAGCACGTGTCCGAATTCGGGTACATGGCGCATGGCTCCTATCAGTGGTCCATCCTCCATAGTCCAAGCCGTGTCAAGCATCGCAGGCGATGGGAGTCGTGGCCGAAGAGCCCGAGGTCCGGCAGGAGTGGGACTCAGGAAATTGTCGAAGTCTAAGTCGATATTGCAGCAGCATATTTCGATCTTCCAGCGCACTGTCGTATTCCTGCGCTAATGGGCTAATGATTGCTGGCTACGAGGGCTTCCCCTTCTCCTACTGAAGTATACGGTTCTGCCCTGTAACCTTTGATCACTGCTGACACCCCGCTTGTGTGTATAAGTGCTGTTGTATCACCTTGGTGAGGGTGACGAGTCCCCAGGTCGTTTGCGAACTGTGACCGACCAAAATTTCACGCACAGGAGCGACGCCCACTGTCATCTGTGCTAACTGAGGCCGCGGCATGCTCTAAAGTCTACAAGTATGGCGTATCTGCAAAGTGTCGAGTTTGGGCTGCTTTGAGAGTTGGGGCGCCGGCATGTAGGGGTACATTAACAGCTGACAGACTTTCCGAAGCTTTCACCCCCCAAGTTTCCTATCTTGCTGGGGTACCCATCGCATCCATCCCCTTCGGTAGATGAGGTCATGCTCTGCGCAGAGAGGGAGGGAGACCGAAGAAAGGGGGGGGAGAGAAACAGAGAATCCTTGCGCGGGCACAAAGTTATGGAAAAAACACGCAGCGTAGCATGCACATACGAACCCACATTGAGTGTTTCCCGCGTTGAGTCTTTCTCACTTCTGAGAGTGCACAAAGTAGCCCTGGGCCCAAATCCCCTAAAGGCCTGTCAGCAAATTTCCTGGGCATCGCTCCTGATAGGCAGCCTCATCGATGACGCCAGCACCAAAGGCCCAAGAGCGCAAGCGAGGCAGCGAATGCTAAAGTCGCTAGAATTTGCGAGCCGGACAAAGCCTGAACACAGTTGGCCAAGCCCCTTGACTCCGCGAACCCCTGAAGCCTTGGGAATCTCAGGCTTGTTCTCCATAGACCTAGCAAGCTCCGGCACCGAGCCTTCCTGCAGAATGTATTCGCGGAGAACTTAATCCTGGCACGGGAGTCGCCAGGCTCTGGACCTGCAATCTCCATCCTGCCCCGGAGGCGGTACGACCCAGACGAGCCCGGCAACCAAGCGCCACCGCCCACGCGGGCGCACCTCGGTACCGCGAGAGCGAGAGGAGGACGGGGGGGAGCAGCATGGGTCTGACGGCTTCGAGCCATCAAGCTGCAAAGGTCCACTTAAGGGTGCTTCGGCTAGCCTCAAGAAGCAAGTTCCCAAAACCATATACTACTCGACTTCAGGAACTGTCACACAAGACAAGTTTCGCGGCCTTGGCGTCGTGTACCCTATATCGTATGGGCTAAGACTCGGCCGAGGGATGCTTATCGGGAAAGTGTCGGATGCGGACGTCAGCTTGAAGATTGAGGGTAGGGCTTTGTCGACAGGAACCTTTGGGGGACATTGCATGTGACATACATGCTGGCCTCCCAGCTTCACCGAAAAGGGCTCACGCAAGATGCTCGTTGCTTTGCTTCAATCCCCCAAGCCCACCACCATTCTCACTGAATCTGCTCGCGGACATGGGAAAGTACCACGAACCACCCAAAACCGAGTCTCCCGAAACGCAGAGCAAAGCCCTGAATCCCTAGCGTCAACCCCGAAGCCCCAAAGAACTCTGTCAAGCAAAGCGGAGGAGCAGGGCGGCGGCCAA